ATGGTCACTACTTTTCTTAATGAGCGTTCAAAAACCTTTTTCCTTAAATTCTTGCTTTGGGCTTACATCAGGTATAGTATCAAAGGTCCCTGAAACACTTTAGCAGGGATGTTGGCACTTTGCAATCTGGAAAAGAAAGACCCTGAGTTGGCATCAGCTTTAGACAATAAGCAGGCTCTTTTGTGATGTCTGTTTCATGAAAAGGGAGCTTTTCCTTTATACCCGCAAACACATTCATAGAATGCCAGAGGGGGGGGGGGGGGGGGTGTCACTTTCTATTAACCACTTGCTGATTTTGAGATAAGCCTTCATAAGCTCTGTGTAGAGCACTTAAGTTGCTATTAGGATAGGTCCTTTGGATGCACAACAAAAGATGTCATACTGCCTTACCTTGGTCTCCAAGAGGTTAAACCCTGCTGTTTCCATAGTGCCTGTGAGCTACATTTGAAATCAGCATTTATTTTCTTGTTCTGAGCCTATTCTTTCCTAATTAACTTATTTATATCCTACTGGGAAAATATGTAGGGAAAACCTAAAAGGACTAAGGTAGAAAAAGGTTAAAGCATTAATTTGAGTTTAAAAGAATATGCCCCTCATTCAACGTTCATGACATTTACTTTTACTTATTTTTCCTGGGGTAAGTTATCTTTAAAAGGAGTCTATTCTCCAGACTTCAACAGAGAGCTGATTTTGAAAGAAGTCATTTTCTCTGAATTGAGTGCTGACCTTTGCTTTATTTTTACAGAGGCATCCCTTCTCTCCTTGCTGCTGCCCTCCCATATTTTACAATTACGCCTGTCTTAAGTCGATTTATGCTTTCTGTGCGGCTCCAGAGAGGGTTAGCCTATGCCCAGCTGTTTTGGATTTACATACGACTTGTCTCTGCGAAGTCTTGCCCGAAAATGGCTTCATCAATGCAGGATAGCACAGGTTACTTTGTGAGCATAGAGATATACATTTCCTTCTAGGAAATACACCGATTTAAATTTCCACCTGCTCTTCCTGGATTTATAATATTTACCAAGGAGGTTATGCATCTGTCCTGCCTACTCCTCACTATTCCACATGATTCACTTTTACTTGGCTGTAAGCAATAACAGGTGATGAAGAAGATAGAGATGATTCATTTCTAGGTGCCATGAGGAAACGTGAGAGCACAGTTTTCTTCTTTTTCACCGAAGATGAAGGTTTAAAAGTAATTTTTCCCATTTGATCATTCAATCCTGAAGATAAGCTTCAGGAAATACCAGCTGCTTAGAATTTACTTTTTAAGACTTTTTTTTAAGAGCAGTTTTAGGTTTGTAATACAGCTGAGAAAGAGGTACAAAGATTTCCAAATTATGCCCTTGCTCCCACTCATGCATAGATGGCCTCCCCTGTTATCAACATCGTTCACCAGAGTGGTCCTTTTTTTTCCCTTTTTACCAAGGGTGAACCTATACTAACACATCATCATCCCCCAATGTTCATAGTTCACATTAAAATTCATTCTTGGTGTTGTATATGATAAGCTTGTGGACAAATGTATAATGTCACGTACCCATTATTATATTATCATAAAGAGTATTTTTACTGCTCTGAAAATCCTGTTTTGCCTATTCATCCCCGCCCCCATCCCCACCACCTCTGGTAATCACTAATTTTTTATTGTCTCCATATTTTTTTTTCAAAATGTCATATAGGTGAAATCAGATAATATATAGCCTTTTCAGATTGTCTTATTTCACTTAGCAATATGCATTTAAGGTTTCTCTGTCTTTTCATGGCTGGATAGCTCTTTTCCCTTTAGTGCTGAGTAATATTCCATTGTCTGGATGTACTCCTGTTTATCCATTTATCTACTAAAGGGCATTTGGTTGCTTCCAAGTTTTGGCAATTATGAATAAAGCTGCTATAAAGATTTATGTGCAGGTTTTTGTGTAGACCTAAGTTTCAACTCCTTCCTACCAATAATGAATCAGAGTTCCTGTTTCTCCCTATCCTTGCCAGCTTGGGGAGTTGCCCATGTTCTGGACTTTGGCCATTCTAATAGGTATGTAACTGTACCTTATTGTTGTTTTAATTTGTATGTCCCTGATGACATATGCCATGAAACATTTTCTCGCATGTTTCTTTGCCACTTGTATGTCTTCATTGTGGAGGTGTCTGTTAAGATCTGTGGCTCAGGGTGAGCAGGTGGCTCAGTTGGTTAAGCACCTGACTTCAGCTCAGGTCATGATCTCAGAGTCCTGAGACTGAGCCCCTTGTTAGGCTCCCCACTCAACAAGGAGTCTGCTTCTCTCTCTCTCTCTCTCTCTCTCGCCTCTTCCCCCTGACTGTGTTCTCTTTCTCTCTCAAATAAATAAAAAAAAAATCTTTTAAAAAAAGTTCTTTGGCTCATTTAATGATCAGGTTGTTTGCTTTCTTATTTTTTTTTTTTTAAGATTTTATTTATTTGACAAACAGAGATCACAAGTAGGCAGACAGGCAGGCAGAGGTAGAGAGGAGGAAGCAGGCTCCCTGCTGAGCAGAGAGCCCATTTTGGGGCTTGATCCCAGGAGCCTGGGATCATGACCTGAGCTGAAGGCGGAGGCTTTAACCCATTGAGCCACCCAGCTGCCCGTTTTCTTATTCTTGAGTTTTAAGAGTTTCTTTTTATGTATTTTGGATAGCATTATTTTATCAGATATGTCTTTTGCAAATATATTCTCCTAGTCTATAGCTTGTCTTGTAATTCTCTTGATTTTCTCTTTTGCACAGCAGAAAATTTTAACAAACTCTAGCTTATCAGTTATTTCTTTCCTGGATTGTGTCTTTGGTGTTGTATCAAAAAAGGCATCACCATACCCAAGATCACATAGGTTTTCTCCTATGTTATCTTCTAGGAGCTTTATAGTTTCATGTTTTATATTTAGGTCATTATATAGGTCATATATTTAAATCATAATCCATTTGAGTTATTTTTGTGAAGGGTATAAGGTCTGTGTCTAGTGCCTTTTTTCTTTTCTTTTTTTGCATATGGATGCCCAGTTGTTCCAGCGCCATCTATTGAAGGGACTATCTTTGGTCTATTGTATTGCTTTTGCTTCTTTGTCCAAGACCAGTTGACTCTATTTATAGATCAGCATTTATTTTTTAACCAATCCGCGAAGTTTTCACCTACTCTTCTTGCAAAAATAGTAACGTTGGTTAATGCATTGGATGGATATGAACATCAATCATTTCAAAAAGGAAAGTTGGATCATGTTTTGGATCATAATTTCAGTTTAGTATGACAGCAAACTGATTGTAACCTCCGTCCTTCCATCGTCTCCAAGATTGACATGACTGACCTTGCTGGCCAGGTGGGGAGCCCTTTCTACCCAAGCATGTGGCTCCATCCTGAAAATGCTTGCTCAGCTAAACAGGATGCCCTTCCAAAAGATGGAGGGGTATATGAGTACTTATATTTTATTTAAATTAAATCCTTTCTCATCCATTACTTTCTAACCTGTTTTCTTTTATTCCTTGGCCTATGCATGGAAGTTTTTAACCTGGAGTCTATGGACATCTAGGCTGCACTTGAATGGATTTTAGAGGATCAACAGTCTTTTCAGAAACCACTTTGGGGAATGTGCAGATGTCTATTATTCTCAGGGAAAGTGTTCATAGTGCTTATCAGATTCCTAAAGGGTCTTGTGAACCCAAATGATTAAAGCCACTGTTAACCACTCATGTTAAATTCTATGGCTCAGATAATTCTGATATTTTACAGAATTATACCTAACACAAGGGGCAATTAAACTGTGAAGTATTAACTCTCTATAACATGATTTATGTTTAGGTATTTGCATGTGTGGATATTGTATAACCTTCCTTTGATCTTTCTTCTGAAAAGCCTTTGAGGCTTTGAAAGTTTGGTTCAATATAAATCACTGTCATCACACCACCAAGGTGAATCCTTGTGTACAGCCACACGATCTGGACACCGAGAGCTGAGAATCACCATCATCTACTCTTCCATGCCTCCATAAATCTTAGGAAAAATATGACTGAATTAAAAAGTCTAATCATAAAGATTATTAAAATCTTAGCTATACATTTCCTTTTAATTTCCACTTCTATGTGGAATCTAAAAAAGGGCAAAAAGTTTAACTCCTAGAAATAGCGAGTAAGAAAAGTGGTTGCCAGAGGCTGGGGGGTGGGGAGATATGGAGGGGTTAGAGAAGAGGACAAACTTTCAGTTATAAGATGAATAAGGTTTGAGGATCTAACTGTACAACATGGTGACTATAGTTGATAACACTACTGTATAACTGAAATTTGCCAGGAGAGTGGAATTTAAATGTCCTCATGGGGGGTGCAGGGGGGCTGGGGAGGCAACTATGTGAAGTGATGGATGTATAACTTACTTGATGGGGGGAGTCTTTTATATATATATATGTATATATATATATATATATACATATATATATATCTCAATCAAAAGATTGATTTAAAAATCAATGTGATGATTTTATATATATATATAAAATCATGTGATGATTTAAAAATCAATGTGATGATTTTATATATACATATATAAATAAAAATCATCACATGATTTTATATATATATGTATATATATATATATATACATGTATATATAAAATCTCACATTGATTTTTAAATATCACATTGACACTTTAAATATCTTACAATTTTGGGGTGCCTGGGTGGCTCAGTCACTTGAGCATCCACCTCTTGGTTTCAGCTCAGGTCATCATCTTGTGTGTCATAGGACTGAGCCCTGCATTGGGCTCCATGCTCACCGGGGAGTCTGCTTTAGGATTCTCTCCCTCTGCACCCCCTCCACTTGTGTGTACATGCACTCTCTCTCTCGTTCTCAAAAAAATAAAATAAAATAAAATAAAATCTTAAAAAGAAAAGAAATACAATATTTTCAGCACATATGGTCAATACTGGCCTCGCACAACCCTGGATTTTTGTGGACCTAAGTGAAGGAAAAGTAAAGCAGATAGTAATTTGGGCCTGTGGAGAAGCAAGGGAAAGCAAGAGTAAAACACTTTAATTAGATCTGATTGTTAATACAACCAAACAAAAATAGGAAAAGTACCATAGGGTTAATTAGAATTAATGTCTAAGGTCTGGTAAAGAGTGAGACATAAATGTGGAAAAAAATTTAAGGCTGCTGGAAAAAAAAAAAAGAATCACTTTGTTTCTCTTGGTTTACTATGTTCCTAGTGGATCTGCAACTCATGAAGCTGCAGTGTGAATTATTTTTGTGTAACCCAGAGAATATAACACAATTTTTAATTTCCTTGGAACCTCTTCTTAATAATTAAGATGTTCTGCATTGGAAGCCCCACACTGGCTTATAAAATTGGAATGTAACTGTTAATTTTAGTTCGATGTCTTTGTGAAATGCATTCTGCTATCCACACAATATTTCTCATCTCTTGTTCCTTCAGCTTTGTGTATGCGTAAAACACGCCATAGTGGAACTGCCTGTTGAATGCCAGCACGTTCATTTGTACCTGAGGAAGGAAAAAAAAATAATAAAGACCGTCACTTATCAGGAGTATACAACATTTATGAAATGATATTAAACTTCAGACTGGCTTGTATTTGTACAGTGCTTATTTGTATTTAAATAGGCAACGTCCAGGGTTGCCAGGGTGGCTCAGTGGGTTAAGCCTCTGCCTTCAGCTTAGGTCATGATCTCAGGGTCCTAGGATCGAACCACTGCATCAGGCTCTCTGCTCAGCAGGGAGCCTGCTTCCCCCTCTCTCTCTGCCTGCCTCTCTGCCTGCTTGTGATCTCTCTCTGTCAAATAAATAAGTAAAATCTTTAAAATAAATAAATAAATAAACAAACAAACAAACAAACAAACAGGCAATGCCCAAATTGGACCAAATACAGGAAAATGGTAGCAATTCATCAAGTTCTAAAGGGAACTTTAGTGTCACTCTACAGATAAAGATAGACAATAGTAGTTTAAAAAGTAACTTTATAAAGAGTAAGTAAAATAAAGTGGGTTTATAGAATCACTAGACTAACTCCAAATCTTCACAGCACTGCTAGCACAAAGATTCCTGGGAAAATCTTAGTGTTTGTGTATGTATGTGGGGAACTTTGTAGCAAAAATATGGTTGGCTTCTAGCTAGTGGGCTTGCCTCATTTAGGTAAACCATTTTTCCTAGGCCACAACTTTGAAAATGTTAAAAAGGTTTGCAGGCTGCCTAACTCTCCTCCAGGGCAACGTCACAGGCCCCTGGAATTTGGAGTGAGTGGCATAAGGAGCGTTCTTAGGATGCTTGGTAGCAATCTGACATTCGGTTAAATTGTTGTTTTTGTTGTTATTGTTGTTTTTCTGCAGAAGGTACCTCAGTAAAAGACAACTTAAAAAAAATTGTGTAACTGATGCAAAGTCGAAATGGAACAATTCTTCTATTCCATTCCATTTTGAAAAAAGGATGAGAGGTACTGCGTCCCTCCTGCAGTTCTGAAAGCGTCAAGCTAAGTATTCAGGAAGTGGAAGACTTCCTGAAGACTTTTAGCAACAGACACTTATTTTTTCTGTGAAGGGTCACTTTCTTAACAGCCTTCTTTGAAGTGGTTGTGCAACAGTGTGAAATTTTAAAAACCTCCCTAATATATGGGATATATTGCATTGTTTTTACTTCTTTGTATGACAGGCACTAGAGAGGTCATCTTGGAGTAGGACTTAGAGAAAGAGGCCTGAACTGCTTTCTGGAGCCAGTCCTACTCTAAATTTGGGTAAAATTTCAGGGTTTTCTGTCAATCAACTGAAAGGGAAGGGCCAGTGGTTTTAGAGAAACGAATAAAACACACTAGAAAAATTCTCCAGATTTGAGAGAACTTATCTGGTATCCTCATCTCCCTCAAAAAAAGCCCTTTGTTGAATAGTTAATAGCCCAGGAATTGACTATAAATGGATTAAATACTCTTCTGTTTTTCAGGGAAAGAGAATAGTCTAGACTCTCCAGATAGAATTCCAGGCAAATAATTCCTAAGTGTTATAACTGTGTTCCTAAATTGTATTATAACCATAGACAAATCCTTCTTAAGGGATGGATTAGGGTGAGATGCACATAACAGAGTGTACACCATGAGGATAATCCATATATGATTATAAGAATGTCCTACTTCTGATTCTTTAGTTAATTATGGAATAGCTGCATTCTTTCCAGAGCTTCGCTATGAGTTCTGGATAGGACACACTGTGTTTTTGGCTAGGACAAGTCAACAGGAAGCCATCATATGTGAACCACTGGGCTTCCAAGGCAGAGAGACACTAAAACCCATTTGGCTGTCAAATTGTGAACGTACTTAATCAGCTGAATTGATCAACTGAAAAAAGAAGCCCCCCAAAAGAAAACCCAAAGTAAGAAACATCTAAAACTCAGAGTAAAAGCACACATAAGCTAATAGCATTTCCATTTATATCATACCTCATGCTCATAAAACACATCTTCCAATGTCTTTCCTCCACTGCCATCACCCACAGCCTCAAACAAAGGCTTGTATACCTAAAAAACAGAGGCTATTTTTAAACAGATTATCATTTCTTATAAATATGTATGAAGATATTTTCCTAGCAATATAGAAATGATGTCTCTCTTCTAATCTACCCAGAAGGACTGAATGTTTTTTTGTGAGATCTTTGGCCTCCTGAAAACAATACCAAAAAACCAAGATAAAAGAGTATGGATGGCTATCTAGCCTACTGGCTTATTCGGGTCTACAGGGCAAAAGGCAAGAGCAAGTCTACTCTGGATATACTTAGATGAGCTAATTTCTGCATTACGTTCTTAGGGCTGGCTAGGCACATTTTAGAGGATAAATGAATGCTATGGGTTCATGAACCCATCATGGGATGGGTTCATGGGTTCTTTGAAATGAAATTGATAAAATTCACATGGAATTTCAAGTGTGGGAGGGGTGGAAACTGGGGAGAAGCTCGAAATGTAATATTATGCTAAAAAGCCTCTTGTGATGACATAAGCTACTACAAAGATTTATGCAGTTTGCTGACTTCTCTTTCCCAGAAGGCTTCAGAAACCCATAAGAAAAGATAAGAGTGTCATCCCAGTTCTGGAAAAGTTACCCGGAGGGCATCATGTCACCATAAGTCAGAAGGAATGGAATTAGGGGATGAGCTGAGAAGCCGCAGGCTCTTAAGAGAGCATTTGGATGTGGAGTAGGGGAACAACATAGCAGCCCTCCTTTCATCCCCTATTTCTGGCCCTGATTAAAGGGAATGGTAGAAACCAGTATGTCCATATTCTCCCTTGCATTTCAAGTAGACATCCTGTACCTGAGTGTGTCTACCCAATGGGTTAGGACTGCTGGGTCAGGCTCTTTTTTTAACTTTGACATGAGCTCACATATCCAGAAAACTGCACCAGTCCCTTGGGGAACTTGCTCTATGAAGCACTTCAAAAGACCTGCTCAAATGACTGCTCCTTGGAGATTTAAACAAGTACTTGCTTGGCAGGAACCTCCAAAAGGAAAAAAAAAAAAAAAAAAAAAAAAAAAAAAAAAAAAAAAAAAAGAAAAACCCATGGAAATTTGAAGTACTTCTTTGGGAGAAGTTCTAGAATGACATTGCTTTCTACCTTAAGAACATAACTGCTTTAGAGAAGACATGTAAATTTAATGTGTGAACTTCTAAAGTACAGGTGATGAAATGTGAGAAATTCAGGGTGCCTGGTGTAGTTACGTACCCCATAATGCTCTGCTACTCTCCTCATCTGATCAAAGTCTTCTGCTTGAGCCAAAAGGCGCAACCCTTCAGGATAGAGCTTGCCACAGGTCGGGTAGAGGGTCTCCCGGTCGTCTTTGCTCAGTTCAGTGCCAAAGGAGTTAAGAGTGATGATAAAAGCACGCCTGTCAGCCTCAAACTGAATTTGCAAGACATGAAATCAGTGAAATCTAACCATGTATGAAATGCTATAAACAGAACCCTAAGTAGACAAATTCATTTCCACAGTGATTTGCTTTTCTTTCCAGATTTTTGTCTAATTATAATACAAACATGTGTTATTATGTTCCCTTAGCCTTTGTTTTTTTTTTTTTTTTAAGATTTTATTTCTTTATTTTGACAGAGAGAGAGAGAGAGAGAGAGAGAGCGCCAGCATTAGCAGGGGGGAGTGGCAGAGGGAGAAAGAGAAGCAGAAGCCCCTGCTGAGCAGGGAGCCCAAGGAGAGGCTGGATCCCAGGAGCCTGGGATTGTGAACTGAGCAGAAGGCAGCTGCTTAACCAACTGAGCCACCCAGGTGCCCCAACCCTTAATGGAGTAATTTTGCTTGCCAGAGAAGGATCACACAGTGTTAATGGTCCATGACTCTTGAAACCCCACTGAACTTTACCTCCCAGGCACTCTGCAATTAGGTACTCATGGGTCTCTTTCACATAGGTCACTAGAATCTCAAATGTCTCTTCCATAAAAATGGGAATAGTACCTATTTGCTGGGGTCTGTCCAGGGATAGGACAAGATAAGTGGAAGTGCCTGGCAGGGTGTCTGGTACAAAGAGTGTGTGTTGTAAGTGTTAACATCTCTTTCTGGTTCCTGATGTTAGGATTTTTTTTTTTTAACCTAATGAAGCTTTATGCTACTTACATTTGTTTGTACTTTGGTGGTTTTGGTTTTCTTCTTGAAAGTCCTAGGTTGGATATCAATCAGTCTAACTGTGTAGCTCAGGTTCATTTGGCCCAGGACAAGGTACCTTCCTCTCAGGCCTATCTCCTCACCTGGACCTCATGCTCTCCCAGGTGGGTCACATATACTCAGGTCCTGTCTTTGTGCTGAGCACCACTGGACACCTGAGCAACCAGCTCCATGTCAGGCCGATTTCCTCTAACCACTCAGTTTTTCTTGAAATTTCTTACTATTCCTTTCAACTCCATGTTTCTTCTGTCTCTTGGTTCTCTTCCTACTTCCTCTGACTATACCTTCTTAGTCTGTCCTTCATAGGATCCTCTCTGCCTATCATGGGAGTTTCTCATAGGGTCCTTGAGCTGAGAAATTCTCCATCTACCTGAAACACCCTGCACTTACAGTATTTTAAAATCTGGAAATTATTTTTCTCCTTACTACACTGTAAAATCTTTGAGGGAAATCATGTCACTCTTGTTTATTGTTTATTTTTTAATATCCAGTGCTTGAAATGTACAAAGACCACAACTATTTACTGAATCCAATACAGTGATCTGTGATTCTACTACTTTCAAAATTCTCCAATATTCTCTATAATGTTGCTACTCAAGGTGTGTTTCTTGGATGGGTAGCTTTGATGTCACCTAGAAGCTTGTTAGACATGCAGTCTTGGGGTGGCTCTGTCGGTTAGGAGTCCCACTCTTGTTTTTGGCTCAGGTCATGAGAAAAAGAAATGCAGAGTCTCAGGCCATTGTCCAGCCCTACTAAATCAGGGCTTGCATTTTAACAGGATTCCAAGGTTATTTGTATGCAAACAACAGCTGAAATAAATTGCTCTACTTTGATCAGCTTACTTTTGACGAATTAACAAATCCAGACTTGCAACAGATTTTACTGGAACTCTCTGGAACTCTCTGGTTAGAACAGGTGTTTCCTATCAGGAGGGTGAGAGTTGGTTCCTTCTGATCCTTTTGACTGACCTCATGGCAAGTATGGGTGACCCACAAGCAGGAAGAGACCTCATTTAGAAGCAAAGGCAGCCGTTCCTGGACCCTGAATGTAACTGTCAGGAATTTTAGGCCTTCCAGGGACAGAAGAAATGCAAGAGGGAGATTTCAAGGCAATCGGAAACCTTGAAATAAAAATTAGAGCAGGAGGACCAACAATAGAGTTAATTGTCCCACATGCCCTTTAATGTGCTTTCTAGTTCTAAGACGTTGGAGTTTTGTTTTTTTTTTTCCACTCCCCCCCACCCCAGTTTTATTGAGCAATCATTGACATGCACTGCTGTAGAAGATGTTAGGGTTTTCAGGAGAGCAGCAGGGTGGACTGTGGACTAGACAGCATTGCAGATGAGCCAAGCAGCAGAGGCTGCTGTAGAGGAGGAAGGCACATGAAGTTAGAGCACGACGCATGGAGGAATGGTCTTGGGCAAAGCACTGGGAAAGCAGGTGAAGAAGTAGGCTGCACTGGGTACCTGGACATGTAGTTGGGAAGAGAAAAGGCTTCACAGGCTACGCCAAGAGAGGACTTTGATTGATACAATAGGTTCTCTGAACTTGCCAACTTCATTTTCTTGTAAATACTTCTTTCTCTTTGCCTACAGTGTGTGTCCTTCCTTCCAGAAACCTCCATGTTGAAACCTTATGGGCACTGGAGGGTCCCATCAAATGCCACTTTTTTTTTTTTTTTAACAAGAAGCCCTTTTATTTCCTCCCCAATTTGATATGATTTCCTTTGAATTCCTATTATCCTTTAATTTCCCTTTTACTATAACTGCCTGATATATCTACCTTAGAAATTTTTTCTAGTCTGGAGGTTCTGTGCGTGCGTGCGTGTGTGTGTGTGTGTGTATTCTTAGTGAAAGGAGCTATAGTCTTGAAATTGTAATAGGGCTATCTTGTGTTTGACCATCCCTAAGCAGACAGTTTGACACAACATCTGATTACGGACGAGAGTAAATGGGTGGTATTCGATTTCACTTAAGCCTTCTCTGTCATTTATGGAGGGCTGGCTTCCTGTGTGGCACAGATGATGCCAGATGTCCTATGTCCTTTCACTCTTCCTTACACTCATTCATTTTAAAACCATAACTTATTTTGTGTTATTGTTGCAAAAGTATACCGTTGATGTATTCAAAATTATTATCAGTTGCACATGATCGAGTTGGGCTGATCAGGACACATTCTTGCCAGTTCATTATTGGAGGGCAGGAATACCTCGTGGGGGCAGTGGGTAGAGGGGCTGATGGCTGTGGAAGAGAGGGAAGCTAACGGGAATCGAACCCAGCCTCGCTAGCTCGGGAAGATGAAACACACTTATTCTAAGCTTGTTTTTCACTGTTTCGTTAAACATACAGGTTGTCAGAAGGGCAAATACAAATAATAAAAGGCACAAAGGCAAACGTTAAACTGCAGTACACTTGTCTTGAACATAAGTCAATTTCTTTTTTTTTTTTTTTCATGTGAAGTCACAATCTTGTAATTAGATCAAATTTTTGCATGCAAGGCCAGGTTAACAGTACTCTCTTCTACCATACTGAGTTTTCTGAAGTATCCTGTCAACTGAGATTAAATAAGGACAGACTTGGAAGAACTCTGTAACTGGAAGTGCGCTACTGGTGCACAAGTAAAACGGGGGCTAATTACATGATCTGATATATTTATGTTAATATGTCAATTTATTTATTTATTTTTTAAAATACATCAATTTATATAAATCTGACAGATCTCTTCTGATCATATCATTAGAAACATCATAACTGCATGCTATTGTAATAATGCTTTTACATAAAGATAGTTAAATGTACTTTTATTTTATTTTATTTTTTTAAAGATTTTATTTATTTATTTGACAGAGAGAGAGAGAACACAAGTAGGCAGAGAGGCAGGCAGAGAGAGAGGAGGAAGCAGGCTCCCCGCTGAGCAGAGAGCCCGATGCGGGGCTCCATCCCAGGACCCTGAGACCATGACCTGAGCCGAAGGCAGAGGCTTAACCCACTGAGCTACCCAGGCACCCCTGTACTTTTATTTTTAACACAGCTTGAAGAAAACCTAATCTAATGTGGTAGTATCATGGGCATAGGAAAGGCATAATGGGAACATTGGGTATATAGTTTGATCAAACCCTTACAGTGATAAGGATTCTTCTAATACTGTGCTGTCCTTTCTACATTACTGAGGATTACAGAGACATAATTCTTACCTAGTTCTTATTTTTATAGCACATGCAATATGATCTTGCTCATGAATTAGCACTTTAAAAGAAAAAAGATTTTATTTATTTGAGAGAGAGAGAGAGCACAAGCAGGGGGCATGGCGGAAGGAAAGGGAGAAGCAGGCTTCCCACTGAGCAGGGAGCCCAATGCAGGGCTGGACCCCAGGATCCTGGGATCATGACTCGAGGGGAAGGCAGATGCTTAACTGAGTCACCCAGGTGCCTCGAATTAGCACTTACTTTTATCCAACAATTGCAAATGGTGAAGTTAATGTAGAGGTAATATAGTGGACAAACACAGAGGATCCGGAGCTAGGCTACCTGGGTTCAAATTCTGATGTTACCACTTATCAGCTATGTGTCCTCTGGCAAGTTACTAGCCTTCTTTGCACTTCAGTTGCCAGTTCAGAGAAATAGATACTAAACCTCATGTTGTTGTGTTGTTTTTTAGATTTTCATTGTGCTGTGTTTTTTTTTTTTTTTCAGATTTTTTAATTTATTCATTTGAGAGAGAGAGAGAGCACGAATGGGGGGAGGGTCAGAAGGAGAGGGAGAAGCAGGCTCCCTCCCGAACAGGGAGCCTGATGTGGGACTTGATCCCGGGACCTGGGATCATGACCTGAGTCGAAGGCATATGCTTAACCAGTGGAGCCATCCAGGTGCCCTCATTGTGCTGCTTTGAGGTCCAAGTGAATTCAAGTATATAAAGCAGCTAGGAGATTATCTGGCACATAATAAATGTTAACTATTAATAGTGTCATTTTACATCTTCTGTAAGGTTATGAGTTTTGCCATAGCTCTTATTTCACATATTTTGTATGTATAAAGCACACAAGCCATTTCTAAACCACAGGAATTATGTCAGTAGAAATTACATTTTCAAGCCATAGATAATGTGGCTTCTTATAGGGTAGCTAGCAGTTAAAAATTTATGACAAGGAGAGTGCTTCATAGGGCCAGCAGGTCACTTATGTTATGTGATCAGAATGTCTGAAAGAGACTAGCTCACTTTCTGACATTTAGTATACCATAAAAAATGTTATTTATTTATCCATGCCCACTTCCTGTGTAATATAGATAAAGGCAAAAAAGATTTCTTGGAGTTTTCCAGTGATAAATTGTTACTTCAAGGACTGCTTTTGCTTGAAGAGTTTCGACAGGGGATAGCAAAGTATCTTTAACTGTAAAATTTTAATGATTAGATGTTTTGAAGGAACTAATTTTATCATATGCAGTTTTAGAAATTAATTTAAAATATATGCAGATGAAGTTATTCAGGTTTTTTGTTTTTTCCTTTTTTTGCCTAAAGGGCAGTTCTTATCAGGCTTTTTCTTTGAAATCAGAAGTCATTGAACTATTTAATCTACCTACCAATGAAGTCACTGTGACAGGTAATCTAATGATTAAAGACATTCTTTTTTTTTTTTTTAAGATTTTATTTATTTATTTGACAGATAGAGATCACAAGTAGGCAGAGAGGCAGGCAGAGAGAGAGAGGAGGAGGAAGCAGGCTCCCCGCAGAGCAGAAAGCTGGATGCGGGGCTCAATCCCAGAACCCTGGGATCATGATCTAAGCCGAAGGCAGAGGCTTTAACCCACTGAGCCACCCAGGTGCCCTGATTAAAGACATTCTTTAGACAAAACTTAGTTTCACAGGGCAAAGCAAAGGGCTTTTTTAAGTCTACAATGGTGTCTGCCTCCCGGCTGCCCCTTATCCAAGTGAAGCCAGCAGAAGAGATTTGTATGAAACATAATACAAACTATGCCCAGGATATCCCCAGATCCTTCTGAGCTCTGGCCTGAATCTCTGAGATCCACACATGCAAGCAAGAACATCTCTGAGCACAGATGAAATCTGTGATGATAAAGAAGAATTAAAAAGATTATAGCATCAGTCAGAGAGGCAGGTTAGAAAGCAGTGGTGGCGCCTGAAATTTAGTGAGCATGCCATCTGTGAATCACCTAACCCAAAGAGTTTTCCTACCCAGAGCAGAACACTTGAGGATTGTTTGAGCCTCCTTTATTTTAGGATTTATATAAGGAACAAGGCCTACAGTGGACTTTGGTTCCACATTGTGAGAATTCCCAGCTTGCCCAATGTTGGAGGGAAGTTGCGTTATTATTACAAGTACTCATGGTCTACCAATTGCTCATAGTATACCCAAATTTTAACTAATTATAATCTACTTCGTTTATATTACATCAAAATGAATCATGACCAAACTTCTATAAGCATTATTCTTTTCTAATTCCAAAATTAGAATTTCTATGTAGAAAACTTAGAAAATGTCACTCTTAACTGAAGGCATGAAATGACATATATGATGAAATATGTTATTTTATTTTTATTTATTTATTTATTTATTTTTAAAGATTTTATTTATTTATGTGACAGACAGAGAGCACAAGTAAGCACAGAGGCAGGCAGAGAGAGAGGGGGAAGCAGGCTCCCTGCTGAGCAGAGAGTCCAATGTGGGGTTCGATCCCAGAACCCTGAGATCATGACCTGAGCTGAAGGCAGAGGCTTCAACCCACTGAGCCACCCAGGCGCCCCTATTTTATTTTTAGATAAAGGAGCTTTTTAAAAAAATTTTATTTATTATTTGAGAGAGAGACAAAGAGCATGAGAGAGAACAGGCATAAGCAGGGGGGTGGAAGGAGAGGGAGAATTAGGCTCCCTGCTAAGTGGGGAGCCCAACATGGGGCTTGACCCCAGGACCCAGGATCATGACCTGAGCCGAAGGCAGATGCTTAGGTGACAGCCACACAGGAACCCGCAGATAAAGGAGTTTCTAACATAAAGATATATAAGTACAATTATGTAAATGAAAAGTGTGTAAGCACATTATTTGGCATAAAGAAATTCAAGGACTTTCTTACCTCAAGAATGGGACACATGATTTCTGCTGTGACATCACCATGATTCTTACAGAATTTATAGAATGCCTCGAGGTAAGACTTAAGAAGAAGAAAGATCATAAAACAATAAAATGAAGATATTTTCCTTTGGAAATTTGTAGATCAGCTTTTCATGGCTTATTAAATACTTTAATGGAGCTTGAATTACTTGGGCGATATTTTATTACAAATTTGATACAAACTTTCACATTGAAGCATGCTGCACAGCTTTAAAAAAGAACAAAATTGTATTTATCGTACCTTATGATTCCTTAATAAGCACTTTTTTTGCATGGTTCTTGGGTTTATTTCACACGGTTAACTTTTGGTACTCTAATAAGAGTGCCAAGCTCTTTTATGAACTCACCAAGGAGTTCTAGATTTGGTCTTGTGCTGACATTTAATCTCTCTTGGTGCCCAGGAGACATGTTTGGGATGGCTTTGAACATGAAGGACACATTGGAAGGCAGAGTCTGGGCTAAACAGTTAGACTGTTTGCATCCCAACTCAATTACTAGCTAACTCACTTCTGCCAAGTAAATCTTACCTCTCCATGTCTCTGCTTTCTTATCTGAGGACTGGGGAGAGCAGAGAGTTTTGCTGGCTAGATTAGGTGAATTAATGCCTATAATCTGCTTAGAACAGTGCCTTCTGTTAGCTGTATCTCAAGGATGCCTTCTCTAAGTCCATACATTTCTTCACAAAAAGGAAAATTACCTGCGACACAGTGCTTTTGAAAGGACCATATGTTTTAGCATAACCAGTTATATAAATGGCATGAGCGCATACACTCATTTAGTTACTCTGTGAGATTGTCCAAAGATTCTATGGTTGTATGAGTGAAAATAGCCAGATTTTGCTCAGCCCAAAGGACACAGAGCTACTCAACATAGTTCAGACAGAGAGCTGGCCTGGTTGGCAAGGTGAAATTCAAGGAGGACAGAGATGGATACTGTGTAACACAAGGATCACTAGGTATGCTCATTGTTTTATATTTTATTTTTCAAAATTTTTTATTTTTAAGTAATCTCTACACCCAACATGAGTCTCAAACCTACAACCCTGAGATCAAGAGTTGCAGGCTCCACCAAATGAACCAGACAGGCACCCCTGTATGTGGGTTTTTAAGAAATGGATATGGTTCACCTTCCTCATCTGTCCACCCACCCACATCCATCGATCCAACTGCTACCTTTTATGTCCCAGGCAAGGAGCTAGGAATGAAGAGAAGAACGGGGTACATACTTCCTCTCAAAAATCTTGCTCTTTCAGGGGAAGCTGACATTTACGTACTGAACTAGAAGACCAGGACCATAAAAGCTGTATTACAAGCCCGCAAAGCTTCATAATTGCAGAAATTGGCTAATGCACAAAGTAACTTTTAATGAAGAACTCTGGTTAAGATGTATTATGTCATAAAGAGACACACAGTATTTTGGGAGACACTTACTTTGTACAGTTTGTTGCGCAGTAATTCAATATTCAGTTCATCAAGGGTATTTTCAGACATACAGTCTTGAAAGAATGGAGCTGAAAGCAGAAATTACCACACAAAATAAATTAATTCAAAGCATGATTATTAACTGTAGAAAAGATTTCCTGAACATCTCACCCTGAGCTCACTCCTGACCAGAACACTGTGCAGTGGCAAGCCACAGACTGGATCCAGCTACCAGTAACGATGAGAATAAGAGTCATTATTTACTGAGTATTTACTGTGTGCCAACTGGTCACTGAACACTGCATCTATTTCACCTTATTTGATCCTGACGACACCTCGGAACTATTCACTTTATGGCTTACTTTTTGAAGCCCCCTCCTCACCCCTCATCTCATAGCAGCATTTATCATTTGCAGCCTTACTATGTGCTAAGCATTGAGTTGTACTAAAACTATGTCCTATTTAGTTTTCAAAGCTCTTTTATACTAAGATACTAATATTTTTAAAATGAGGAGACTGAGGGGGTACTGCACTGCTCTACCTCACCAGGTTGGGACCAGGCAGAGCCTGGAGTCAAATATCCATGATTATAGACTTACCCTCTTTCCACCACACTCCCTTAGCATCACACATTTAATGATGGCCATTTTTTTTTTTCTTTTTAAAATTTCTGTTTTCGGGGCACCTGGATGGCTCAGTGGGTTAAAGCCTCTGCCTTTGGCTCAGTTCATGATCCCAGGGTCCTGGGCTCAAGCCCCGAGTCAGGCTCTCTGCTCAGCGGGGAGCCTGCTTCCACCTCTTTCTCTGCGTGCCTCTCTGCCTACTTGTGATCTCTTTCTGTCAAATAAATAAATAAAAATCTTTAAAAAAAAATTTCTGTTTTCAACAGCAAAAATTTTGTCACATGGTCAACAGTGAATTGCTATGAATTGCTACCCTCCAGTTTTCCTGACAATAACATATATAAAATGATCCTGCTAGCATTTTGAATGCTAGAAATATTATCAGTGTTAAATTATAATGAAATTAGCATTTATTTCATCATTGCTTCAGGTCATTTGACAGGTGCCCCAAGCATCTCAGAAAAATGGCATTCCTCAACTTCCTAAAACAAAACACTGCCACGATACAGCCTTATTTAGACAGAAGTTGAAAACCAAATGATAAGGAATTAATCATATAAAACCGAATTAGAAAATTAATTTTTTTGAAAAATTACAAGTTCTATCATTTATTTACTATGATCTGGCACAACATACAAAGGTTTGGAGGTTGGGAGGTGAGCCCCAGATTCTACTTAGCTACCAATGGTTCTTATGTGATTCCGGGAAGGTTACTTTCATTTGTTGTCAATGAGGGAGCCGGACTAAATTATTTCTTAATGTCCCTTCCATGCCTAGGAATCTGTACAGTATGACATCGGACTCATGGAGAAAAGGAATTGAATGTACATGTTCTGATGACTATGAAAACATGCAGAGGGAGCGATATAATTGCTTACATGTTCATACCTAGTGGTGTTTCCACCAGAACAGCATTAAAGAGATCAGAAGGTGTCTCCGCAATGTTGACTGCTTCCATTTCTGTGAAACGGCCCAAAGGGTGGCACTTGACCAGAATTTCTTTCACAGATTTTTTTTGCAATGCACCATTCATCAGTAGGATCACATTGTCTATCATGTAACTGCACCTGGTTTAGAAGAAGGCTCGAGCATTAGGAAGTCAACTGTATGAGAATATGAAGCATACCAAAAGTTAAAAAAAAAAAATATATATATATATACATATATGCATATGTATATATATATAGTTCAGGCACATATTCTTTCACTACGGAAATATATGGGGTTTGAGAGCTGTGAAGGGGGTAAAATATCTGACTCTCTGGAGATATCATAGTTTGAAAAATCAATGTTATTGTAACTAAGTAAAGCTAAATAAAACCTAGGCTGGTGGTAATAGGCAGAAAACGACCCATATATTTTAATTGCCAAATGTAGTAGGGTGAGGATGAGTGTGAAATTGTGTGTTTTCTCAGAACAGACTATGATGGGCTTAGGAAGTTGAGAAACACAGATCTGGAGCATTTCACTCTATCTTAAAAACTTACTTTTTAGATCGCAATAAAGCCCAACGCTGATTTGGAATTTGAAATATTTTAAAATAAATAAAATACTTATTAAATTTAATATTAAATATTAATATTTTATTTATTAGAAATTTAAAATATTCCATATTCTTTTCCTCCTATGAAGACTAGGTAGTGAACTTTCTAGCTGTTTTCTCCCAAGTTCTCCAAAAGTCCACAGGTTCATATTTTATGTGATTATGTTGCTCAATATAAACTCTGTCTGGGATATCCTGGGTGCATATGCTTGTTCAATCATGTGCTCATCGCCCAAGATATTCCAAGCAGTGAGGCTGAGAAGCAGAAGAAAGAGTTCTTTACTTTGCAGAGAATATAGTTTGAGGGAGGAACTTGACAAAGAATCCATTATGGTAAATTGTAACAAAGCACGGATGCTAGACAAATTATAGGGTGGTGTGGAGATTCAGATCGGGGCACCGAAGCAGTCTGGGATCAGACTTCCTAGGGAGTGATATTCAGGCTGAAACTTGTAGAATGAGTAGGAGCTGTCCAGGCAAAAATGGCTGGGAATTGAGGGAGAGAAGTATTCAAGGCAGAAGGAAGAGCATGCAAAAAGCCCCAGAGAAAAGAAGAGAAGAGTTTTCTGCCTGGCACTGGGCAGTGCAGGTGGGGCCAAGGCTGAGCATGCAGGGTTTTGACAGACAAAATGAGGAATTTGGGGGTGGAGGGCGATGGAGGGTGAATGCCTTTAAACAGAAGCGGGTGTTATGATCTTGCAGAATAATGATTTAAACAGGAGAAGGGATAAACAGTGAGGTGCTTCACAAAACTTATTTAATCAGGATAACAACACTATGATGATAATAGGTACTGCTCTTCTCTCCACTTTATAGATGAGGAACAAGACGGGCCCAGAGAGGTAAAAATTCCACTCATGGTGACACAACTAACAACTGAGACAACTGAGAAACTCAAGAAGTCTGCTTTTGGAATCTTCCTCTTAGCCATTATACTATGCTGGGTTTGTTTAGCTGTCAAAGATGATCCATAGGTTTCTAGGTTTAACAGATCGTGAAGCCATTTACTGACATGAGAGCATTAGAGGACGAGCAGGCTGTAGTGAGAGCCGATGCTTTGGACAGAGTGAGCTTAGACGCCTGCGAGATATCTAAGAGGAGATGCTAAATAGGTTTCAGAAGTCAGAGTCCTGAAGACAGCCAGGACCAGACATTTGGGGGTTTAGTAGCATAAGTTTAATGGTGGAAGCAGAAGTCTTGGGATGGTTGGGATCACATCTTAGAGTGCACATGAAGAGTTCTGCCCTGAGAACCCCGGAGAACCTCAAATTCGAGGACCTTGGTGGAACCTGAGAAGGAAAGACCAGAGAATAGGAGGAAAACCCAGGGATGGGAGGGAATTTTAGAAATTCTAGGAAGAAGTGGCCAGAGCTTCAAATGCCACAAGAAAGTCAAGGTAGACACTGAAATGTCCATAAGATGCAGCAACTTACAGGTCATCTGTCAACAGTCAAAACACTTCCAGGACAGTTTATTAGTGGAAGGGAAAGGGGAGATGGTGACAGAAATGTGACTTGTGTATTTAAAGTGACCAGGAAGTAGGGGGACCTGGGTGGCTCAGTGGGTTAAAGCCTCTGCTTTTGGCTCAGGTTATGGTCCCAGGGTGCTGGGATCGAGCCCCACATCCAGCTCTCCGCTCAGCAGGGAGCCTGCTTCCTCCTCTCTCTCTGCCTGCTTCTCTGTCTACTTGTGATCCATCTGTCAAATAAATAAAATCCTTTTTTAAAAAAATAAAGTGACCAGGAAATAAAGAGGTCTAAAAAGAAAAAAAGAATTCAAACTACAAGCTGATCTTAAAGGAAGGGAAAGATAGCTCCACGGAGACCCAGGGGCCAAGGGGCTTTGAACTTTGGTCTTTTTTTGTTTGTTCGTTTTTTAAGATGGGAGAGAAGAGAAGGTGTTCCAGTGCTGTGAAGAAAGGAGGAGCTGAGAGGGTGAGGTTTTGGATCAAGACACTGAAGGGGCTGTCACCTGAGGAGCTGAGGTCCTTCAGGTCTGACAGTGATGGGACAAACCACAGCCACAATTCAGGCTTGAAAAACAACCAGGTAAAAATAAGCCGAGCCCCTTAGAAGCACTGTCACTGGAGTCCGGCTGCATGGGTCACAGACCTTGCGCGCAAGACTGCATTTCCAGCTGGAAGAGAGTCTCCCTCATTGTGGACCTTTACAATTTACTCCAATAAAAAATTCTATCTGAAGAAATTTAGAAGCAGGCAATTATCCCTTTACAAAAGGCACATGACTCTAAAAATTTCTTCATCTCCCAAACAGCAGTACCAAATTTAGCCATTACAGAATTTTAGATTCCTTTTTATCTCTTGAAAATGATATTAAAAAGGAAGTGCTTATTTAACTGTCCCTTTATGGCTCAAAAGCTATTACCTGAGAGGAGAATCGCTAGCACTTAATAATCCTTAGCAGGCTCCAGACATTTAATTGTTCCCCACAGCACCTCTGTAATGTAAAAGCCTATGAGCTATCAACATTCGCGACTTGCAGAGGACTATTAGACCACGCTGACGGGCAGCCAATGTCTATGCTATACGGATTTAGCCCACAGGTAACACTCACGCCTATGTCTTTGCAGTGTGTGTGCCCATGTCTGTATTGAGTTAAACATTCTTTTCAGGGGCATCTGGCTGGCTCATTCCATAGGGCATGAGACCCTGATCTCGGGGTCTTGAATATGTGCCCACATTGGGGGTAGACTTCACTTAAAAAATAAAAGAAAATAAGAATCAAAAAATATTTTTTACTAATAGGCTAGACTCTATATACTGCAAAGAGCAAGGACTATAGGGCCTGGATTCTGTTTTACTTCTACTCACTATTTAAACTGCTTTGTTTCTAAGAAGGAACAGTGACACCAGTTCTCGTAGTGTTGTTCAGAAAATGGGAGTGAAAACGCAGGACTCAGGCCATGGCGGGAGGCAGAAGGAGTCCTGTCCCTTTCCTCATCCACATTACACATATGCACTGGGTATATAATTCTCGTTGGCTCTCTGGGGTGGCTCTCTGGGGTGATGCGGCCAGAAATGGTTTCCTTTCTTCTGCCTATAACCTTTGTAGACCCTCAGAGCCACACACAGAGCAGTTAGGAATAAAATCACTGCTGATCTTGCTTGAGTAATTTTTGAATTTAAAGACAGCGGGGCGTTACACTAGTTCAAAGTCCTCATGTTTTAGATAATCGTGCTCGTGTGTAGTGACAGAGCCAGGAGGAGCTGGGCTAATTTTTCTCTCACTAGTGGTCTGGACAAACACCCTCATTTATAGCCCCTGCTAAATATTTTATTCTGTAACTCTAATACTGGCATCTGTGAAAATCATGAAGTCCCCCTAAAACTGGGATGCAGTTACTCCAAAAATTTTAGGCTGTAAAAATTGTAATTTTTAAAATGCCAGCCCTCTTGGAGGTTTTTCCTGTGTGTCAGGCATTACATGTGTGTTCTCATGCAAGCCTCACAACTCAATACTGTAAGGACCGCTATCACCACCACTTTAAATACCTTGTCCAAGGTCACACTGTGAGAAAGAGGCAGAGCTGGCACCCCAAAACCAAAACTCCAGCTCCCATCAGATTTGGAAAAAAACAGCTCAAGGCAGGTGATATTTTAACATTTCCTTTTGATCTTAGTGCTGTTCTTTCTCTTTTTTGCCCCTGAACTTATTTAAGGATCTTGAAGCTAACTAAAATACATTTCCTGTATGTTAACTATCCAGTTCTGGGCTGATACAACAGCAGCTGAATGGTCAGACATGCAGAGCCATAATTTGGTGAGTTAGAGAAATTACTCTTCAGCTCTAGTCAAAACTTCTCTGCCCAGCCCAGCTCTCTTTTACTTCCTCCTTGTGGCTCTGACTGCCTGGTTTTCTTATAGACACCTCAGTTACATTATCTCAAAACATAAAGCAGAGATTTCTCATCATTGTATGCAAAGCTCTCTATTACTTGGCTTCTGATTATTTCTTCAGCTATGGATGCGAATAATACCATTTTTTTAAAAAGTATGCATTTTAGGGGCACCTGGGTGGTTCAGTGGGTTAAAGCCTCTGCCTTCAGCTCAGGTCATGATCTCAGGGTCCTGGAATGGAGCCCCGCATAGGGCTCTCTGCTCAGCAGGGAGCCTGCTCCCTCCACCCCCACCTGCCTCTCTGCCTACTTGTGATCGCTGCCCATCAAATAAACAGAATCTTTAAAGAAAAAAAAAGTATGCATTTTAGAAAAGTGAATAGAACAGACCACCCCCAAATTCTTCAGGGGCAGGAAGAAGACTTTGCAAGGAAGACTGAGGAAGGGCCAGAATGGAAAAAGGAGCAGAAAGAGAAAATGTCATCCCAGAATGCATGGGACAAGGACATCAACTGAATACAGCAGCGAATTGTGGAAGGGCTGAAAAATATATCCACGTGACCTCACAACCAGAGTGGTTTGGGGGGTACAATGAGGAAGGAAAGAAGACTGAAGTGGTTTCAGTAAACAACTGAGAAAACAGATGAGTATAGACTATCCTTTTTAAGA